TGTCCTGCCTGTCCCTGGCATCTGTACGAGTGGCCGGGACCCTCAAGCCCAGGTTGAGAACCCCTGGCTTCCCTGGTTGCCTTGTTCACCCAGCTACCTGTCTACCTCTCACGGGATTGCTTGGGCCTCTGAATGCGGCCAGGCTCTGTTTGAGTTTGTGCAGTGTGGCAGGCCCTGCCCCCTCCCCCGAGGAGCTGCCAGGGATCCCCTGTCCGGCCCACCTAGGTGGCAGTGGCTCCTATGGCCAGCCACACACTGTCCGCACTGTCTGGGGACCCTGAGGTCTGCAGAACCGACCTAACCAGGAGCAGGGCCCCGGTGCTCCGTGCCTAGAAGGTCTGGGGTGAACTGAGGAGGGGTTTGCATGGAGGAAACTGCTGGACAGCGGGCTTGGAGGCTGGAGGATTCGCACTCTGGAACGGCTATGCTGTGAGCCCCCTGCGGTCAGCATGATGCCCCCGGCCCTGCGTGGTCCTCACCACGCATAGTGTGGGGTGGTGACACCATGAGAATCGCTTGGTCCACATCTGTCCGGGAGACGACACACAGAGGACCCAGCCTGATCCCCACCAGGGAGGCGACCCCAGTCTGCTGGCCCTGGAGGAAGCCATTGTCACTCCAAGCTGGAGAGGGAAGGGCACTGGGCTCCATCCTCAGGACCCAGCCCAGCTCAGTGGTGTGGCAGTGGGTGCTACACGGGCCGTCAGCCTGCTGCACCTCCTCTACTGAGCTGAGCAGCACAAGTCCCCACAGAGAGGCCATCCCTGAGGTTGATAATGGCACCGATGGCACTGGGGATGGATGGAGAAAGCATCACCTGCAGCCACCATGATGTGCCTGAGGCCAAGCTCTGATGTCCAGCACTGGAGCCAGCCCACCAGGCCGTCCCCACTGTGACGTGGAAGGTCAGTGTGTGCAGAGCGTACAGAGCCAGCCCTGCCTGCTGGGCCCACTGAGGACAGCATGGAGCTGCATCCTGTACTGCCACGGCAGCCCAGGGTGCCAGGTCTGAGGGGACCACTGCCTCCCCTCCCTGATCCTGCCAGGTCACGAGAACCTGGGCACAGAACACAGCGCGATGGCACAGCAGGGTTCTCTGCCCCAGGGGTGCTGGGTGTGAGGTACAAGTTCAAGATCGCACTTTGGAAACATCACTCTGAGACAGCCTGTTTAAAGGCCCTGTTGTCCGCTCCACGAAGAGCAGAGGAGAAAGAGCAGGAGAAAGGCCTTGTTCACCCCGAAGTCCAGCTCTGCAGGCCTGGCCCAAAACTGCCAGGCACAGCAGGTAGACACAAGTGGATAAGGCAGGGACAGGCAGCTGGCTGTCCTCTGTCCTTGGCTTTTAGTCAGTTGGGGGAGTCCGGCAAGCCTTTCAGGGGCCAGAGAGCAGATGTGAAAACCCTGAAGAACTGAGCATGGTGGAGCATTCCTGTGACCCCAGCACCCTGGGAGGCTGAGACAGGAGGATTACAAGTTCAACCCCAGCCCGGACAACTTAGCAAGACCTTACCTCAAGATATAGAAGGGCTGGGAACGCAGTCCTGTACAAAGGCCCTGGGCTCAGTTCGTCTTCACTGCAGTCAACAAGCGAAACTCCAAAGGCAGCAGAGGTCAGACTGTCAGCATTTCCATGTGGCACCACAGCGTCCTGAATGTCGCACCCTGGAGGCCAGTCAGAGAAGGCAGGCCGGGTCAGTTTCACAGAAGGGGAACCTGAGCGCCTGATCCGTGTCTGGACACTGCTGGGAAAGGGCTGTTTCTCACCCGTGCGCAGAAGAGGACACAGGGACCAGGGGCCCACTCATCTGCAGGATGTGGCAGCGGTGGAAATGCTCTGCTGGACTGTGGCGCAGCTGTCTGTGGCCCTGCTGCCCACCTGGGAGGTCAGCAGATAGGGTGAAGCGAGTGGACTCCCCCAGTGGTCGGGGTGGCTGTCCCAGCTTGCTTACATGACACGATGAAGCCGGACGCTCCACCCGACACTTTCAGGGGTCCTGGCCTTGAGGAGCAGTAGCATTTGTCCCAGAAGCTGGGGCAGGAGATGCCTCAGAGTGTGTGGCCACCTCCCCTGTCCCCAAGGCCTGGGCTAGCTTGGCTTTGCATCCAGAGCAGTGGCACCGCGGCCTAGATGTGCGGTCCCAGAGACAGGCAGTGCCCCTGGCCTTGTGACAGTCGCTGTGGGAACTGTGCCATCCATCCCCGCCTGTCACAGCCTCAGCTCCTTCTCTGATGCAGAGAGCGGCGCCCATGGGACCCTGGTGTGCAGCGTGGTGCTACTGAGTGCCTGTGTGAGCCCCATGCCAGTGGCAAGTCCCCAAATGAGGGCTGCTGGCTCTGGGAACCCCACATCTGCACCTGGAAGGAGGGCTGGAAGGGGAGGAGCAAGACACCCCTGCTGTCTCCTGTCCCCAACCAGGGCACTGCACAAACAGAACTCAGCCCAGAGGCCCCAGGGAGGTTTGATTCCCCTCACCCGTCACCCCACTCTGTCACAAACTGGGGGCCGTATATATGTGTGTATGTGTGCGTGTACACGCGTATATGTGAGACCCACACAGGCAGGGCCCGGGCCAGCCTAGGTGCTTGTGGCCACTGAGAAGCCACCCGTGCACCTTCCTTTCTGCACATGGCTGCGGCCGGCCAGACAGGAGTCAAGCACTGGGCCAGCTGTGCACACGTCCCTGCCCCAGGATCCCTCCCCACAGCCTGGGCTGCAGGACAAGGAGCGGAAAGCTGGGGCTGGCTTGAGATACTTTTCCTGAAGTCCTTGCTGCGCACTTGGTGTTGGGCAGTTCCTGGCCTTGAGGAGCAGTAGCATTTGTCCCAGAAGCTGGGGCAGGAGATGCCTCAGAGTGTGTGGCCACCTCCCCTGTCCCCAAGGCCCGGGCTAGCTTGGCTTTGCGTCCAGAGCAGCGGCACTGTGGCCTAGATGTGTGGTCCCAGAGACAGGCAGTGCGGGATCACTAGAGAGCAATGTGGAAGTAAGTAGGAAGCACCTCGTCCGGCTGGCTGTCCTGTGTCGCCCCATCCTTGGTTCTGTCATGTCTGTCCAGCTCTGCCTCCCCTGCACAGACAGGCAGATGTGGCCCACCCTGCCTGCCTCGGCCCGGTGCATGCGGCTTCTCTGCCTCCCTCATCCACGCCTCTCACCGCTTGTTTTGGACCCACTGGTCGGGGGTGGCTCTGGATTTTGTGTTTTCATTTTGCTTAACCCCTGTCCCCTGTGGTCCCTGAGCATGGTTAACAGTCCCAACCTCACAAACCCACCCCTGGGGTCCCTGCCCCAGCCGACACTGCCCTCCACTGGCTGTGGGACCTGTCGGCCCTACCTGGCTTCCACGCCTGGCCACGCCATTGCTTCCTGGAGTTGGGCTGGCTGTGTCTGCAGTCAGGACACCATGGGATGTCGTAGCCAGCCCCTGGGAGGGCAGCGTCTGAGAAAAGACTCAGTGGGGAGTTCACGAGATTTCATTCATCCTTCGCCATCCACCACTGTCCTCATCTTGGCTCCGCTGGCAGATCCTTCTCCGTTTCTCCGTGCCCTCGTTTGGTTGGCAGTTAGTGGCTGCAGCGAAATGCCTAGGCAGCCCATGCCCCCAGGGACAAGGCTGCAGGGCCCCCCTTGTCTGTGTCACGACTCCCTCAGGCACCTCGAGACCCCATGTGGGTGGCGACAGTGCCCCCAGCCCAGGCAGAGGTGCCAGGGGAGATGAGGGCAGAGGTCAGCAGGAGCCGAGCTGCTTTTCCAGGCACACTGCCCCTGTCTGCCCCCACGCCGCTCAGGACACTCAGCCCGGGACCTGAGCCCTCAGGCAGGCAGCCTGCACAGTGTCCGGGCCGCATGTGCACCGGCTCAGAAAGGAGGCGCCTTCTCCCTTGCCTGCACCCCCACAGAGGAGGCAGCCCTAGTCCAGGCCCCTCCCTCCGGCCAGTGAGCAAACCGAGGGCTTAGCAGTCAGCAGGGGACTTTTACATTGAGAAAGAAAATCATTCTGCCTGCCACACTGTAAGATCTTTTAATGTGATTTCTATGAATTTCCTTTTTAGGGGTCCATCATTAGCAGTCCTCACATGCGCCGAAGAGCTACATCAACACGAGAGTGTCCATCTCGCCCACACCAGACCGTGCCCAACTCCTCCTCCCTCCTGGGCTCCTTGTTCGGGAGCAGGCGAGGGAAGCCCCCGCCTCAGA